TTTAAGTGTTGGTTCTGGCTGATTGCACTCCACATGTCATTTAAAATGTTCCCCATTCCTCTATTTTTCCTGTAAGCTGAGTTGAAAATCTAGAGGTAAGATCAGACTCAGGTTGGATTTTTTTTGTCAGGTCCATCTCACCTCATATCTTCCTCCATGTCTTATCGTTGATCAGTGGTTCATGTGCCAAAGTTTCATTTTTCATGAGAATAGGGAACTTACTCTTAAATGTTACATATGATCTTTTCTGTTTTTGCAGACTTATCCTTTCCCCAGATCTGTTCCACCTCTATAATGAAACTGTTGGATTTTGTTCTGGACTGAATGTTTGTGTGTATTCCTCAAGTACATAAGTTCATTCCTAACCCCCAAAGTAATGGTGTTTGAGATGGGGTCTCTGGGACGTAATCAGGGTTGGATAAGGTCATGAGGGTGAGGCCCTCACGATGGGATTAGTGCCCTTTTAAGAGACAGGAGAAAGCTTGCTCTCTCCAACAGATGGGGACACAGTGAGAAGATGGCTGTCTGAAGGCCAGGAAGAGAGCGCTCACTAGGATCCCAGACACCCAGCACCTTCCTATGAGACAGCCAGCCTCCAGAACCGTGAGAAATTCATGTCTGTTGTTCAGTCCCGCCTATGGCATTTTATCAGCCAGCCTTAGCAGACTAAGACAGATTCCAGATAAGTTTTTATCTGAGAACATCTGAGGGTGAGGCAGGTGCAGACAGAGGGATGAGACCAAGCGGTGGGGAGGAAAATGCTCAACCCGATGAAGCAATGACTTGGAAAATCTGCCTTCTGGGGAACTGATTTTTGGGATGTGTTGGCCTGCCTCCAGAAGAATGTGCGTCTAGGGTTCAGCAGTCGTTCATTAGCTGTGTGACCTCGGATAAGTTACTGAAACACTCTGAACCTCAGTTTCCCCACTCACCCAAAAACCAAAGACAGGGTAAATGTCCTCCACTCCAAACAGAATACGAGAGTGAAATACTCCAACACAAGTGTCTGCTCTCAGCAAGTGCTCAGAAACGTTGGCTATGTTCCACCTCTTGACTATTTTCAGAATGAAGAGACAGCAAATATGAGAACACTTTGAAAAAGTACTATGCAAGCCCAAAGCATTAATAAAATTATTAAAAAAACAAAATAACTGCTGAAATCCGGACTCCCTGCAGCTATGGGCTGAGTCTTTCCCACAGCTATTTGTCAGCATGCTCTGCTTGGGTTCTGAACCCAAAGAAGGTGGGAGCTCCGAACACCATGGGCATAAGCAATTCCAAAGGGAAAGTGAAGAGTCATGCCGGTTTGTAGTTCTAAAGCTCCAAACTGTAGGTCCTCGCCACACAATCCCACAGCTGTCTGTCCCATTTAGGGGAAAACTGGGCAGACTCGGGTAACAGTGGGCATGGTCCTTAGGGTAGGCTGCCTACCAGCAAATCTGGTCTTGGGCAATATAACAGTCAAGTCAAGATGTAGGGTGGGTGTGGTGAAAATCTCCCTTTGTTGAAGAGAATTGAAAGTAGATATTACATTTTAGTATCAGAAACATGCAAAAGAACTATTTGTCCATGATACTGGATGAGGTGTTCCAGGAATATAAAAGTCCACAACTCTACAGTGTAAATTCCTTAAGGGCAAGGGTGTCTGGTTTATACACGGCATAAGCCTGGCTCTGAGCACAGAGGCTGTTCTACCAAAATTTGCCAAATGAGTGCATCTACACGAACCACCGTGGCCAAGGCCTGTTCCACCCCAACCTGAAAGCGCAGCTTCCCCTCATCACTTTCTAAACCTAAGGTGACCTGGCAAGTTCTCCTTTTTCTGAGATTATCAACTTGCAAAATTCACTTGCTGAAATGCTGTTTGAGATAAGCACCACCGCATGTGTCCTGTCTTCTGGCCTAGACAGTCAACACTTTGAGAGGAGGGACCACATCTGCTGGGGTGTGGTATTGTGGCCTGGGAGACGACGGAGTCCATCAGTCCAGCTCATGAGTGGGCTATGATGAGTAGACGCTGCCCGGATAGAGGAGCAATGGGGTGAGACAGAAGGATGGGCGCTTCCTACACCGAGGCCTGCCATCTACCCTTACTAAGCATTCACGCTCACCTAAGGAGACCACAGCGTTCCACCCACCATGGCAGGGCAGGGCCCCGCTTTGCCTCCCATCCACACCACAGTCCTGGAGCATCCTTCTAGCTTCTTTGTGTCATCCCCTGCTCATCTGGAAATGCCGAAGTGTACTACTGCTCCCAAAGAGTTAAAACAGAAACCTCACACTGCGTATCGTTCCAGGGAACAGCAGGACGGGCTGTGCATGTTTAGACAAGACGGGGAGAGCCAGCATCTCCCTTTAGGCAAGAAACATAGCAGGAGAACAGGTTTTTATTCCTGGGGCCTTGAGGAGCGTGACGAGAGGGGCGACACCAGAAACGATCCAAAGAAAGCCTGGTTTAATCCGAGCAAAACCTAGTGGTCCCAAACACAGCACTTTCCAGTAATTTCTAGTTAGGTTTCATGACCCACAACGGTGTCAGAGAAGTTTAATATGACAGTTATTTACCCTAAAAGCAATGTAATTTAAATCACTTGGTTCCGAGAATTTTGAATTGTGTTTTGTTTTGAAGATTTCTGCAACAGGCTCAGGATAGTTTATAGATGCCTCTTCAAGGCAATGTTCTTTTTTTTCTCTCAGGTAGTGAGAGGAAGACAAAGCTGTAATAGAAGCCGCAGGTAAACTCTGCATGCAGAGACGTCTGGGAAAGAGCAGCAGTGTTGAAATCAAGTAACACTTACTCCAGAGTGAAGAGATGCACCCAGAGATACAGCATCAACACTGTGACAAACGGCAACAAGGCGTGATGGAAGTCAGACCGCTGCCTCCCCCGGTGCCAGGGCGGGGAGCCGACCGACCTCCCTGTCCTCAACCCCAGCATCCTCTCTCCCTCCCTGCCTTCCGCTCATGCTGGTCACCCCTCACATCTCCCCTCACATCTCCCCCTTGCCAAGCCCTTCCAAGGTCCTTCCTGCCCTTCTAGGCTTCACTGATCTCCATCCTCCTCGGTCTCCCAGGCAAGAGCTCCAGAGCCTCACTGTGATCCAAGCACAATGCTAAGCTGCTAAACTCCGTAAACAAACGAATCCAGTTAACCAGCCACCCAGGGCTAAGCTCCCCCTGGCCCACGAAGTAGGTATTATCCCTCAATACAGATGCGCAGACTGGAGTTAGAGAGAGAGTGAACGAATTTGCCCAAGGTTACATGGCCAGTGAGGGCAGAACTGGGATTCAAGGTCAAGTTCCAGAGCCCATCCTCATGTGCATCTTACATTTATAGGAGCTTACGTGACAAATTACATAATCCCTACCTGGCCTCCCATGGTTCACTTCAGTGACTCTTAGGCTTATTTCATATCCCTGTGGAGAACTTACCCATGAAGACAGAGAGTGTATCTTTGTCCTCATATTCATATGGACGACACTCAGTGATCTGCAAAGATTTTGCTTGAGTATCCTCTAAAACAGGGTATGAAACTCATTTTCACCGGGGGCCACATCAGCCTCGCAGTTGCCTTCAAAGGGCCAAAATAATTTTAGGACTGTGTGAATGTAACTACTCCTTAACTGTTAAGGAGCTGAAATTACATTTAGCCCTTTGAAGGCAACCACAAGGCTGATGCAGCCCCCGGTGAAAATGAGTTTGGCAACCCTGCTCTAAAAGAATTGGAAAAACAATAAATGCCTTCTGAATCAGTCAGCTCAGGATAACATAATGAAACAACACAGGTTAGGTGGCTTACACAACAGAAATGTATTTTTTCAGTCCTGAGGCTGGAGGTCTGAAATCAGGATGCCAGTGTGGTTCGGTTCTGGTGAGAACACTCTTCCTCGGTTTGCAGACGGCTGTCTTCCTGCTGTATCCTCACGTGACCTCTCCTCAGTGGGTGTGCTCAGAGAGGGACAGAAGTTCTCTCTTCCTCTTCCGATAAAGGCACTAATCTAAGCATGAGGGCCCCACCCTCATGACCTCATCTAACCTTCATTCCTCCCAAAGGCCTCATTCACAAACACCATCACACTGGTGGTTGGACTGATCTGTGAAGTTGGAGATGGAGCCTGCGGGGGGGTGGGGCTTGGCACAAACATTCAGTCCATACCACTCTCAAACAGTTGTAAGTTATCTCCAGTGTTCCACTGTAACTTTAAATAACTGCAAAAGATATCATTTCCATTGTATTTGCAAATGTTATTTTTATAGTAAAATTCTTAAACCACCCTTTTAAATGTATCAAGTATAACATAAACACCAGAGCAATTTGAAAACCTTCATCATTCATTTAGAAATTACATGGGCACATTCCCCGCAGTTCAAAAACTGTATATTATTTTTCTTTTTTCAAAACTGCATTTCCATTCTATCTCAATACACTTTTACATTCAAAAGTATTTAATTACCTTATCCTATTTCTCTGAAATAGATATTGTGAATAAATTGAAATTTAATATTTTATATTTTACTCCAAGTATTTTAAAAATCCTTTCTGAATTGAGTATCACAAGTATTGCTGTAATAATTTATACTAAGACATATATCATAAATTTTGATAACTAAGTACAATTTTATTGAAAATGCATCTTTAACAAGATGGACTGGAGGCGGGTACCTATCGACTTGAAAGGCAATTTCCCTGGCATACTATTTCAACATCCCACCCCCCCTGGAGACTTTTGCAGATGTAACAGGTCACCCTAGTACATTCCTGGCTCTGGTCAAGCAGGGGAAGGTGGGCTGTGCAAGGCTAATAGGGCACCAGGCCTGAGCCACAGTGGGTTCTCAGACAATCAAGTTTTGGAAAGATGATGTTCTGGGCAGTCAAGAACTCCTGCAGAAGGCCCCTCCAGTGCTCCCCCTCTTCATTGGCTGCTCTGAAAACCCAGCCCTCAAAAGCAGGCTTGCTCCCCCTCTGAGCTCCAGACAAGATTCCTTTCAATCTACTTACCCCAAGTTGAAGTTCTCACGGGCTGGTAAAAGCAGCGAGCTTATTTGCAAGCCAGGGTCATATCTGCCTGGCAACCCAACATGAAGACTAGAAGGACTATAAATGTTGACAGAGAACAGGCAGGCCAGCTTTGCACAAAAGAATCTGTTTTCATGCAAATGACCCTAAGTGAGATGCCTAGAAAAGAGAGCAATGGGGATGGTTCTCACAGCCAACTGATTTCCAGAGAAGATGCCGAAGGACTTTTTAAGGGCATCACTACAGCCTTGCCCATTGTCAACGAAGGGACACGACAGAAGAGACTAAGAAGGAAGATGAACCCTTTCCTTAATTTCCAAATTTTTCTGGTTCTGTACTCCCGACTCCAAAGGTTCTTTTGTTCGGCTTCAGAACTAAACAGAGTTAGTTTTGTTTGGGGGTGAGGAGGGTGATCACCATGGCAATGCAGCACTTTCCCTCTCTTGCGTTCCCAGGAGGAGTGAAGGAAGCAGGGGTGTTCTCGCTTGGTCTCACTAGGACTGAAGGATCAAGGTGAAGGTGGCCTCTAACCAGGCAGGCAAAAGTCACTGTTGTATGGCTGGCGAGGCTGGGTTTCCCAGCCAACTCGCTGTTTTCCAGACGCTAGTGGCAACTGTACTCTTCAGATGAACTCTGTTTGCAAAGCGGGCCAGTGTGTGTGTACCAGTGCCGTGCAACCTCGGGCAAATGCCTCCAGTGCTCTGTGCCTCAGCAGTTCTTGCCTATAAAATGGGGGCATCGGCTGCCTGGGTCTGATGATGGGGTTAAAACTAAGTCGAGAACAGAGCAAACCTGTAAAAATTATAATAAAAAGGACAGTGATAATGCATGATTGTTATTATATTGCTACGGTTCTGTCACTCCAACAGCCAGCTGTTTCACGTGGTAAAATACTTAGAACCTTCTCAATCATTCATTCACCTCTAGGGCTTTCAGCCATTTTTCCTCTAATATTTCTAATCCAGAAACAGAAGCACCAAGACCTTTCTTCACCTGCTTAGACTCACTCAGTTCTAACTGCTGGTCTGCACTACCAGGTTCTTAAGCAACACTCAAATATACCAGTACTGTGCCGTATTAAATATGACGTTTCCATACTGAATGAAGTGGCGGGTCCTAATGCGCTGTAAGATCCTAACGGTCAAAGATTACACTATGGTCTGTCCCATTTTGGCACTCAGGGTTTTCATTTTAGTGATTACAATCAGTTTCCACAGATCATTATGCGTGGATTCTTCACAAAACAACCCGGAAAAAAAAATATCGCTTGCAGGGATATTGCAGTCAGCCACAAATAAAAAAAACAGTAAGAACTAATGGGTACTGTGGGCTTGCCATAGGCACTTTGATCTGAACTTTACAGGCATCATAAATGAAACCTTTCCATTCCGAAAGCACCACCATTGTCCCCCTTTCACAGATTGGGAAGTTGACACTCTACGAAGTTTACTTACTCCCGCCCATCTCAGAAGGTTGCAAAGCTAATCAGTGTCCCCTGGCTGTACAGGGCTGGCCCTGACAGAGCACTTGACACCAGCATACCTGTCCCCCATCTAGTCCACATGGGACCTTGGTAACAGCACAGAAAGGCGTTTAACACAGTAGACACGACCCCCAATTCCTGAGGAAGATCAGGCAGCGAGCTAGGTGAGGTTTCTGTCGAAATTCAGATCACCCACTCCTCCCTGTGGCGACCCCTCCATGGGTGCACTCGTAGAACGGGGTCTCTCGAGTTTAACATCAAAACAATATCCGAACTGCAAAAAGAGAGCAGCCCGTGCCAAGTCGGCAGGGGAATGTGGAGAATACGGCCTTTACCTCCGAGCAAGTCCCAAATGGACCGTGGGGACATGGGGTGGACCCTAGAAAATAGTCTGCGTCCCCACCGGCTCCGAAACGCCCGGGGCGGCTTCGTCCAAAGGACCGTTGGTAACTGTTTCCCGTACATTATCTTCGGAATTCACAGTGCTCTTGGGATCAAGCACTTCAGGATAAGGGGCACGTACTCCCCACACGACCCGGTCCCTCTGTTACAAGAAGCTCCCCGTGGGCTAGACAGCCACACACCTGTGTGGACTTCAGCTTCCGCCGGGGGAGGACGGTACGCGTGCGCCCCCGGCAGGAGATGCTGACTCAGCCCCGCTGCTCACATCCTTTCGCTCAACACAGATGCGGCAACTGCGGGGGGGGGGGGCGCGGAGAAGATGGGCACCCTTAGCAGCCCGGCCGCCGCCAGCTCCCCTGGGGCCACTGCGACACTTCTTCCCGCCCTCCCGAAACGGGAACTGTAAGGGTGCACGAGTTAACGAAACTGGGGGAAGTGAGCCCCGGAGGAGGAACTTGGGGACCGCGGCGCCGCGCGCGCGCAGCTCGCACTCAAACTGGAAAGAACCTGTTCTGTCCGCGGAGCCGCTACAGCCGCATGCACCGCGAGGAACTATCCCCAGGGCCCTTCATCCCACACCCCCAAATTCTCAGGATGCGGGTGGGATTGAGGGCGCAGAAAAGGAAGACGGCCAGGGGACCCTGAGCGGTTCCAGCCGGGAGTGCTCGCCGAAAGGGTGCAGACGCCCCCAGACAAGTCCGCTTTCCCCACTTGCAGTGCGGCAGAACCCCGGGGTCTGGTCGGGCCAGGCGCATAAAGCCGCGTTGGGTTCCGGCGACGCGCCCAGGACCCGGGAGGCGTTCGCGGGAGCGGCCCGGCGCGGGACGGCGACGCTGTTACCTTCCGTGACCCCCGGCTTGGCTCAGAACGGGCGCGCGCCCGGTGCGGACCGGGTACACGTGGGCCAGCGCGCGCGCTCCTGGCAGGCCCCCTCCTCCGCGGCGCTCGCGGCGCTCGCAGCACATGGTCGGCGGCGGCGCGCCCCCGAGGCCGGCGGAGACCGGCTGCAGCCGGTATAGGATCAGAGAGAGGCAGCGACACGGGGCTGGGAGACGGGCAGCCGCACGCACTACCCGGGCGCAGGCGGGTGGGGGGGGGGGGGGAGGGTGCGGCCGGGGTGCCCCAGGCACGGGAATAGGTGGGGGGCCTGGGCGGGGCGCTGCGGGCGGGCGCCGGTGACACCCTCCTGAACCAACTTGCGATAGGCTCGGGCCCACGCCCTAAGGAGTTAAACCTTTCTCATGTTACCCAGCGGCTTATAAGGAGGGGAGGCCGAGCCTACGCCTTATTGGGAGCCTTTTGGGGTTTATTCTCTGCCCTTCTAACTTGGTGAGTTGGTTTTATTATTTTACATGTTTCAAACTTTGATTATGGGGTGTGGGTTTTTATTTTAATGTGTTAGGAGCGTTTTTGCCTGGCGGGTTGTGGGAGGCGGAGGAGAGCACTTAACATCTTAACATTTTGGAGAGGTTATTCTGAAAAATGTTCTCTGACAGTTGGGAATACTCGGGGCCACTTGGGATGAAGCGCTCTCGTCAGTGTGGGCAACTGAGAGTTGAATGATCTTGGCCCTGATACAGTTGGGTCCGGAAAATACCTAAAAGCAGGCTTGGCCTTTGAGTGTACCTAGCCCCGGATTAGGTGCTCCAGACCCTGGGGCTAGTCAGGGACGCCAGGCTCAGCGCCTGCACGGATTTTCCGCATGGAGTTGCCTGCGCGTCCCAAGTGCCAAGTGTCAGAGGTACCTTCCCTAGGCTCGCGCGCGCGCGCGCGGGTCGGCCACTGAGGCTGTGCGAGGGAAAGTGGGACTCCATGTATCTCCCACCCAGAGCTCACAACCAGGGCGTCAGAGTGACCCCCCCCCCACCCCCTGGGGCAAAACAGGCATTTCCCTGCAGAGCACAGGTCCTACACCCTCATGGTCAGAGCTGTCAGCGGCTGAAGCCTGGTCCGCTCAACTTACAAGGTTCTCTGAGCTGCCAACTACAGGAAAGCGCCCCTGAAGCCGAGCAGTTCTTGTAGCAAGGGAGGATGGTTTTATAGAGGAAATGAGTTGTTTCCTTCTCGGTTTTTTCTCCTTAAAAAAAAAAAAAAGCCAAAAACTAACTAACTAAACCTCCACCAACGCCAAGTTTGTGAGGTAACAAAAAATGCACCAAACACAGGAGTGTTAGAAAAAGCTCCCCAAAGCCAAACGGGGGGGGGGGGCGATTGCAATTTACCAATCTGGAAGCTAGTTTTGTTTGCACTGGTAGACGCTCCGTGCCAGCTCTTTCTCGAAAGAGATGGTTTCTACCCTGGAGAAGGACATTTCTCAGCAGTCTTACTGGTTTGCAAATTTTAATAAAAAAAGTGATTTGTTTGCAAAAAATACGAAGTGCTTATGCTGAAATCTCTAAGTGACGCATCTCCCAATGTTCCAAGCACGATTAAAAGGCATTTTGGGGGGTCAACAGTACAGTCTGCCTGGTGGATACAGAAGTATCTCTTCTCATAATGAAGGGAAGGGGGGTCAAGGTAGGGAGTTACAGTATGTAAGGAAACAATGCAGCCAAGTGGGAAAGCTCTGTCTGTCTTAATGAGCACCACTAACCCTGAGCTTCCCTTCTGTGGTTTCCAAAGGAGAACTTTCCTCAGTGGAACTCCTGAGGGAAGGCACTTAAATTAGGGGCTCAGATTTCAACATCATGATCTTGTAAAATGGGTGAATTGGTTGTATCCAGTGATTCCAAGCTGCTGAGGCAGCTGTACAGGTTAAGTTTGGGCCGGGGGGCGGGGGGGGGGGGTGCGTTAAATAGAGAATTCAAATGAACTTCACCTAAATGGAGAATGATTTTGACAAACGGGGCCAGAAACAACTTGTAGAAAGCTTACCAGGCTACTATGCCTTTAAGAAGAATGGATATTGGCAATGCATCCACTGCCTAGGCTTTGCTTATATCAGCAGCTACCAGCATTTCTGTCCAAAGCTTGCATTTTGAACTATACTCTGAACTGACCCTGGACTCACACTCTGATGGTCTATAATACCCCAATATTTTATAATCTTCACGCCCCCAGGTCAAACCTTTTCTCAACACAGTGAAATTCCCAAGCTCAGCAGCTCAGCAAGCTTTGGCAGAATACGCATTTATTTAAAGGTTAAGACAACCAAATGCTCATAGGATGTACTGCAAACTGCCGAATGTTTTTTGTTGTCCTTCCTTTGGAAGAGCATTAGGGTGAAGACAAGACAGCAGCTAGGAACCCACATTCAGAACCATAGAGTGTTCAAGAAACCGTCAGCCTGCCCTCTCTAACCCCTGCTTCACAGATGGTGGAATTTAGGAGCCGAGTGATTGCCCCAAGATTGTAAACAACTTTACAAATAATGCCAATGGGCTTCAGAAAGACAAACCCACATGAGGACTTTATGTCAGAGGACCCAACATGGGTTGAAAAAAATTAAAGGGTAGTTTAGAGCAAGCCAGGGTCGAAGCCTATCAGAATTAGAGCTGCTCAGGGCAGAAAGAGATATGAGGTCATCGGAATCTAGTCCATCTGCATTGTTTACCTATTGAGGACACTGACCATCCAGGAGCAAAGTGATTCGCCCAAAACCAGAGTCACTCATTTGCCTCACCAGTTAGACCCCACATAGTAAACTGATACCCTTTTCATCAGATAAGTTTACGTGACCCTAAAACCAAAACGGACAGATACTTCCTTATTCTGGTCTCTATAGGAGCTTCTAGTAACCAAGTTCAAAATTCAGACCTTAGTTTCTTGCTTTATAGAATAGAGTCTGACAGTTTAAGCCAGGTGGCTCGCTTAATGAATTGAAGAAAGGAAAGGAGACCAGTCCAGGAAAGCATTTATTCTGCAACCAGGGACTTCCTCACTTGAGGACTCTGTTTTCTAAGCACAGAGTAGTGCATTGCTCAGGAGCACCCCAAGACTCATAATTTGCTTAGTAAACTTACAAGCACCCACCAGGTGCCACGTGTGCTGCCAGGCAGTTGGTCTGGAAAGAGCTGCTGCTCACCCTGTAAGTGCCGGCCCTATGTGGTCAGACACGCAAAGTATGGAAATTAGTGTCCAGAGTGTTTTGGAAACCAGGTGATCTTCTTATTCTATACTGTGGTCTTATCTTCAGAGCTAAATTTAGCAGGACGTAGGATGCTTTCAGATGATAAAGTCATAAGCTTTAAAGTAGGACTTGGTTCGGCAGGGGGTTCATCTTTGCTTTACGGTATTCTCTGTAATAACAAGAAGATTTCTATCCTCCAAAAACCTAAGAATGCCAGTGAAAGTTACATTTGGGTCTAGTTTCAGGAGCGTAACACATATGCAAAGCAAAATTTTAAAAACCAAAACAAGTTGAATGCGCTGCAGGGACTCGGAAAGGAAACCAGTGGAGCAGTCCAAAAGCTGCTGTCTTCTAACGAGCTGATCGGGTCGCACCAAGGTCCAGCTGCCTTTCACCCGCTTTCCCAAGCACCATCTAGCATGTGCACCTTCTTCCTAGCTCCCTGGTCTCCTTGGGCTGCCAGCTTTGGCCTGAGGAATCAGGTGAGCTATAAAATCAGTGCCAAATACTGAATACTCAGAAATATCAACTGGTAAAGCTAGGTGGAGCCTTAAAGATTCCCCAGAAAACCTGTGACTAAAGACTCGACTAATGAGGAGCTCAGGCCCAGACAGGTGCAGTGACTTTCACAAGGTCACACAGTTAACTGGAGAATCGGGTCACGGACCTCTCTCTACATACAGAAGCCAAGAGAGCTTTTATTTTTGAAGGAAAAAAAAATCGTTTTCTCACAATCTCTATATAAAAGATCCCTCTCACTGGGGGCTGATACAGCAGGGCCCAGGAGGCAGGAGACTCAATTCTGGAACATTTTGGTCAAGTCCCTTCACCTTTCTGGGGCTGTTTTCCCTTTTTTTTTTTTTTTTTCAAAATGAGCTACATTGTCCAGAGATGGACAAGATGAGGTCCAAATTTCCTTCCAGCTCCAACATTCTGTAATTCCAACTCCATTCTGGGGCTACAAGTGAATCCTAATCCCATGGATTGTGCACATGAAAACCACTGTCGGGACAGGAAGAGAAAGAGGGATGGGCACCCCTCCCCAGAACGGCACTGGCGGCCTGACGCTGAGCCTTCTGACGGTGGGCAGGTACACACAGCCTCCTACAGAGAGCGCGGTCCGGTCCTACTCGTGGAGACGCATGCCAACACAAAGACTCTGTCTTCATCCTGCAGTGATTTTAGGCCAAAGAGAGAGATTCGGTTT